GAAAGTTTTTTTCGCCATTCTTTTGCCATTTTGAGATTTATATTTATAGCGGAAAGCTAACCAGGAAGTGTTTTAGCACACCACGTGACGCATCTGAACGAATCACGTTGTCAGAAGTTGACACCAGCCAATGAGATTTCGTTTCTTGGTTTAAGACCCTTTTGTACTTTCACGATTGGTTGCTGATACGAAGGAAATGACCATATTTGGATCAGATGAGATTTTGCAGGAGAGACCGAGCTTTCCAACGATATCTCTGATGACATGGTGCAAACAGCGGTCGCGGTACTTTATGTTACGTTAGAATGCTGACTTTTGGTGAATTTAGGAGAAATATACAAACTATAGTAAAATGAACACTTAAGTGTGTATTTTGTACGTTTTCCTTCCAAAAGCCTGAAAGAAAACATGTTATGGAATCAAAATAGCACAACATCTCAAAATTGACCAGTGCATGAAAAACGATGTTTTTGCCTGCCGTGTCTCGCCTTTAACAAACAATTTATGCGGCTCGTATCACTGAAAGCCGGGCACCGCCTTTTTTTTTTTTTTAAGCGGCCCCCTCCCCACTTTTGGCAGCACCCCCTGAGCAAAATGACTTCCCGTGGCTATGCTTCAACATGGCGCGCTGAAATCAATTTCCGGGTCACTACCGGAGGACCGAGGAGTCCAGGAGTCCAGGAGTCCAGGAGGGGAAATTAGATAAATGAGAAGCCTTCAAGATGTGTTTCCCCTATGGTTTCCCCATAGGGTTTCCCCCAGTATGTGCCCATCCCCCCATGTTAATCACACCTGGCACACACAAACACACAGAACAATTTGATACATTTCCCGCTCTTATGTGCCCCTCCCCCCACATGGATCACACCTGACACACGCATTACATGTTCAGTGTCTATTCTTTTTATAATTACTGCAGTTTTTCATGTATACCAGTAGTCTGATACAGTATTTACAGTTTGAAAGGATGTTAAATGAAATTTGGTGATGATTAATGATTTTTGTGTTAATGCAGTTAAAACAGGACCGGTCAAATTGGACCGCAAACACCAAAGTAATGGGGGGGGAAACGAAGACAATGGAGGGTTAATCAAAGTCCACATTTACTTTTTTTCAGTGTACAATATTCTACAATAAATGTATAAAAGGTAAGTTATCAACTGTGATGATCTATTAGTACATCTTATTTCTAAACCACGCCCAGTCAAGCAACGTCCTTGTATCATTAAAACAATACGGAATATTTAAGGATGAAACTTGTGTTTGCTGATGTGTATAGATGACTGCACATTCCAAACTTCAGAACCTCTCCTCTCCCCTCTTCTCCTCTCCTCTCCTCTCCTGCAGTGGAAGTGGAGGTCTTGTCTGTTTGGTAGAATACACCCACTCCTCCAGACTCACCATGACCCAGCTGATGGTGGAGAGCCCGCTGAAGGCTGCTGACCTGCTGTAGTTTGGAGCCGAAGAGAGCCGTGAGGGCCTTCCTGGCACGTCTGCTGCTACATGTAGACAACTGCCCGGGCATGCTGGCGTTCTCCCAGCTCCACAAATACTTCACCCTGGAGAAAGAGGCCTGCAGGCTGCTGTTAGGCAGGTCAGAGATCAGCTCTCTGTATTCATTTTCTTTAGAACTAAGACAAAGTGAAAGCAGAACAGTACTTCTATACATTTTAATCTTAGCTTTTATTAAAATCTTACTGATCTACTGTATAAGAGTCATGTACAATGGTAGTAATGAGACATTGTTTCCTAGGCACACACACATGCAAAAAGGCCTTCATGGTTGTTAAGCTCGTTGTTGTTGTTGTTGTTGTTGTTGTTGTCTCTTTGTGGTATTTTGCATCTCTCTGTGCAAATATTTTTGCCTATTTATATTTATTTGGTCTGTGGTTGTTTTTTCATTTTGCAGGTTTTTCTTGACTTTTTAAAAAGTTATTTTTATCTCACTGTGATCTTTTTAAGTCTCTTTGGTGCATTTCGGTCCACTTTGGGCACTCTCTGTGTCTGTCTGTCAAAGACTGTCTAAATCATTTTGTTCCAGGAAGGCTAACTAACTCTCTAACTAACCGCTCGTCTTACATTTTACAAAACAACATAGACAATAAATCACTGCTCCCAACCAAGAAATAGTTGTGCACATAAACATCCAAAAGCTATAACTTGTCACTTCTATACCTCATGTTAAATTATGAGCTACACCAGGGCTCGACTCAACTTGACAAGCGGTCAAGCGCTCTTAAGTTTTCCGTTGTGTTCCTCAATTATAGGATATAAATAGGGCAACGGGAAAATAACCCAAGGGAAAAAAGAGAGAGGAAACCCAATTGTAAAACCAAAGATGTTGAATATTTTCTAAATAAAAAAAAGTTATCAGCCAATTCAAGATATAAAAAAAAGATTACTTTTTTCAAAAGACTATCAAAGGCGCACATCCCCTCACACTTTCTAACACTAGTCTACCTCTCACTCAGTGGTACTCCAGCACAATTACAATGGGGCACATGCCCTCAAAACACAATTGACATGTGTCACACAGAGACACACGGCACACAGCCTGATCACCCGCTGATTTATGGCAGTCAGAGAGGAGAAGAAAGCTTCTTCATCCCTTTATGGGGTCCTGATGAGGGACTGGGATCACCTGAGAGAGGCTGCACCTGGGGACAGACAATCAGGGGAAGAGACACACACGGCACGTAACAATCACACAGGTTGTGGTTAGTATCTTGTATCTGGAACTTTCTAGTACCACCTTGTCGAGTTTCCAAATGAGCTGGGCTTATAATGTGGCATCAAAACACTGCCACCCACTGATCGGTCAGAGATAATCGTCAATAGGACACACGGGCTATCCTACACAAACAAAACATTTTTAAATAGCCAAGCTACTCTATTGCTATAAACAATGTTTAATTAATTTTGCCATGCCAATTCATGCATATGTAATCTGTTCCCAGGTGTTATGCTAAGCTAACTGGCTGCTGATTCTAGCCCTATGCTGAACTGACAGACACTGGTTTCAACCTTTTTTTTTTATCAAACTAAGAAACTAAAAAAGCGAGTTGGTATTTTTTCCCAAGATATGAAAGTACTCCTATATTGACCAGAATGATATTGATGAAATGATCCTGTCGGTTTTCGCAGGTGGAGGGAACGCCTCCACGACTGTTGTGGGAAACAACATCTATGTAGCAGGTGGTCATTCTGCGTCAAGGGCAGCTGCAGCTACAACAAGATCGAGAGTTACACATTGGACCAGTGAAGTATCCAAACCACTTGCCCCCATAAAGGTAGTTCTGATATCAAACCTAAATTATAAAGAAAATAACTCTGGGAAAGAAATGGCTTCATAATAAAACAAGCTACACAAAAAAGATAAGATCAGATTCATTGATCCCAATTTTTCTGGTCACAGCAACATGTTAAAAGAAGGCTGCACATAATGTGAATATAAAAAGAGTTGAAAATAAACAAAAATAAAATATGAACACCCAAAAATAAAAAAAAACAGAACAAAAAGGAGAAAATACAAATGCTGACAGTGAAAGATAAAAATCTGTAGACTATCCGTCAAATAAACACTTTGAAGGACCGAATTACAGCTAACAAAATGCCTTTGAAACTCTGATTAAATCTGAAATTAACATAAAAAAGCTTGGATTGAAACCCAGTTACTGTCATGTCCTCGCTCCCTGCAGAGGATGTGCCTGGTGTCTTTGAAAAGCAGCCTGTACCTGGTGGGGGGGCCAGACCACCCTCCTTGAACACTTCGACCCAGACACAGAAGAATGGATCCCCCTTGGCAGAATGAAGGAGAGGAGGATAGAGTGCAGGGCAGTGGCCATGCTGGGCCGTGAGAACATCACTGGGGGCCGTTCGCGCTCCAAAAGGACCTGCAGAGCGTGGATAAATATGACCCTCACACAGATACATGAGAACTAGTGGGAGATAATGCTTACATGGCTGTATCTGCGTTTATCATGGCGCCAATTGTACAAAGACTGTAGCAAGCCAAAGATACAGCTTTTCTTGGATTGTAGTGGGAAGAGTGAACTGGTTAGTTTATCCATTTAGGCAGTTGTGTACAAGCTGGTGGGAGTTTTTTGGAAATATGTGGTTCTCCAAGGGTGGGTTATCCAACCGGCTGTGAGAACTGGAAAACAAACTGGAAAAGGAGTGTTGAATGCTTATGTACATTACCTTGTTTTTATGTTAGTGATTAAAGAACATGAATATTCACTTCTTTTTTTTTTATAAAGATAATACTTTTCAAAACCATCTCTTCTTAAGCTCAATATTTAACACAGGAAGTCCCTCCCACTGCTGCCAAGAAAATTTATTGAATATAAAACTGTAAAGACAAAAACATTATTTTGATTTGTTAATTATGTCCTTTGGTTACATGGACACTGTTTCACAATATTTTCATTATTTATGCTAAGCTAGCTGTCTCCTGGCTGTACATATTTTATGAACAGTTATTAAAGCAATTTCGATTTTCTCATTCCTCTCTTGGCAAAGAAGTGAATAGTTGTATTTCCCAAATGTCAAACTATCCGTAGAATTAGCAGCTGTGACCTTATAGTCGAAAAATATGGTGGCTCGGTTGGCCACAGTATATAGTGTATGTGACATAAATATCGGCCCGAATCTCCCCCCCTATACTCACCCAATGCTCTCTCACTGTCACCCACCCTGCTGTAAACCACGTTTACAACTGTTAATTGTAAATGAGCAAGACTGCTGTATAGCTTTTTATTGAGATCAATCTGCCGCCTCATTGTTTTGCACATATTGAATACACACAAAGAATGCAAGAATATGTCAAGGACTTCTGGCTGGTGTTTCCTGGGGGCAGAAATAACCCAATCCAATATCCTTCTCATAGCAGGAAAGGTGCAGGTGTAAGTAATAACATTAATGGAGTTTCAGATCCAGGAGTTTTCCGCTGAGCCATGTCATTGTGAATTGCTAGTCTGTTGTTATGCAGAAAGACAGACACACATTACTTTAGGCCTTTAGGGTTTGTATAGTGAGGTTAAAATTGAACTTGAGATTTTCTCTAACTCGAGAAAGATCTTCCAATAAGAACAATCTGCTTGCAGGGTCTGGTTTCAGGGTGTCCTTAAGCGAGTTCATCCAGTAACTCCTAATCAATTTGGAGTTGTATCTATTCTGAAAAGGAGGCACTGTGTGTGTCTGTGTGTGTGGCTGTTTGAGAGTTAACAAAGTCAAAGAAAGAGATGGATGAAGACAGATTGACAGGCAGTCCAGCAGATAGCGAGGCAGACAGAGACAGACACAGGGGGACAGTCTCCTTCATCTGAGTTTTTCTACCTCACCCTTGTCTGAACTCCTGATTCACTGGGAGTTCCTTTGGTATAGTCTGACACTGATCATCACAGAGAGACTGTACCATCCAGAGCAGAGTACTTTTAAGAACAGCTAGCATGCTACTGTGTAAAATGTAGTTAATATTGCGAAACATATGTTATTAAATATCTTTATTGAACAAGGACCATACATATAAGGAGAAGAGATGCTATATGCAAGATCATAGCTAATAGCTCATTTCCATCTGCAGTCCCTGCCATCTTGGAGGCATCGGGATGACAGTGTTGGTGAGTTTGTTGATCTTCCACTTTGATCCAGATAATGAGGTTCACAGTTTTGTTTGTAAGCGAAATATCTCAACTAATTCATGGATTGACATAATCTTAAAACTACCACCCATGCACCCCTCAGGATGAATTCTAATTACCTAGGTGATCCCTAAACTTTAAATATAGTGCGAGCATCAGATGAACATTTCAATATTTCCAGTCCTTTACAAAATTTAGTCTCTGCGTTTAGGTCCATTTAGCAATGATATCATTCTTACATGAGGGACTAAAATGGTCAACTAAGCAAGCAACCGGCTAAACATCATCATTATAGGATTGTCATTGTGAGTATGCTGATGTTAGCATTTAGTTAAAGCAATGTTTTGCTTAAGGACAGTCTTTGGTTTAGCTAGCACTGCTGTATTACTGTTGTTAATTAAATCGAAAAGTGTTATCATTTAAGTATTTATCTAATTATTTAGCGTAATTTGATGTTGGAATGACAGCAAGCCAAACAATATATATATATATATATGATAATTGCCATTGTGAATAATTTACCATTGGTGCATAAAAGTAATTATACCTCCATATAGGGAGGCGTGTGGTGCAGTGGGTTGTGTGTTGGTGTTTGGATCAGGGGGTCACAGGTTCAAACCCCACTGCAGTCAGCATGTCGTTGTGTCCCTGGGCAAGACACTTCACCCCAAATTGCTCCTGGGGGGATTGCCCACAGTATTGAGTATGTAAGTCGCTTTGGATAAAAGCGTCTAACAAGTAACATGTAATAATAATACTATACAAGTCAATGCTCTCGGTTGTTACACAGCTGGAGAAAGAGGGTTTCTTTATCAAGCAGCTGAAGGGTGACACATATGAATTATACTGAGAAATAACTAAAATGGCACTGGCTGCAATAAAGAAAAATCCTATTAGGTATGCACAGAACCCAGTCTGAACTTACATGAAAAATGCTCACCCCTTTCTACCAATTACTCCAAATCCTATGCTCATTGTTCTCTTTCACGATAATGGCCCAGATCTAAATCTCCTTGACCCATTTCATTCCAAGTTCCACTGCTGTGCTCTGAAGGCTGAACACCAGGCATGCATACTCTGCTCTTTCTTACATTTGGTGCCTTTGCTGCACTCTTTGTACTGTGATATGTCTGAGTAATGAACAGAGGCTAACAGGGGATGGCAGTGTTGATCCATGTAGAATCTACCACTAGTCTTGGCATGAGTACAAAGTCTACATTGGTATGAATGCTTTGTACCATGCTCTTTTGAGTTTTTCCACATTTTGAAACCGAACTCAAAGGACACGGACAATCATAAAATCAATGAAACGGACAAGAGAATCTTGGAGAATTACCTGTGGATGTAGCCTGAGTAAATGCTCATCCTTCATCAGTTATGTGCTGGAGGGTAAAGCCCCCTTGTCTAGACCACTTTCACTTGCAGAATGCATTTTTCTGAAGGCTGGGAAGCAAACAGCATTTGCAACCATCTTACCACCCTTTCGTGGAGCTGCCCTTGAGCAAGGTTTTTAACCGTAAACAGCAGCAGTGTAAACATGTGTGGGGTTTTGATCATACTTGTGACTCAACCGACAGCCAGTTGTGAATAACCCTAACCCTATTTCCTTCACAAAGGCTAAATAGTTCTTAGGACAAATCTGTGTTACAGATGTTGGTATACCTTTTTACTACATGTTTTTTTTGTATCAATTCATCCTGGAGATAATGGGAATCCATTTATTAAAGGGTTGAGTGGCTTCAGGTTGAGAAGATGAGATTGAAGGTAACTGGTTATCAATAGAGGTTGATAAAGGTCAAACGTTATTTGATATGGCCATGAGGAACACTAGGAGGGCCATTCAAAATCCACCTCTTCTACACACCCAATACATTCCACTTATTCCCCCTGTTCATCTTTCCTCTTGTCACAGCTCTGCTCCGTGCCCTGATCCTTGTTGTTTTCGCCCACTTAAAGCTGATAATGAAATGTATGCACTGGGCGAAGCAGGCGATTAATCAGAGCAGATGTGTATCTAGGTGAGTGCCAGAGCAAGTCTCTGGAGCACAGAGGCCTGACGGCTCTAACTCCACCCTGGTTTTAGCGGGGAAGTCGAGCCCTCGCTTCTCACCCCATGCCTGTCATTGCCAACGCATGTGCCAGCCGGTCTTATTACAATTAATTAGCCCGTGCCGAAATGTCCTCACACTTCAGAAATGATCATGTCTCATCTCGGCCAGCGAAAAGGCTGCTGGTGGGCTGTTGTCACGTTTGCTGGCCTGATCAATTTGGGATGACAATTTAATAGCCCAACATAGCGGTTTTATCCCTAGAGAAATATCACAGTAATCGTCCTTTGACATTTAACATTGGAGTATTGCAGTTCCACAAGTCGTAAATACACATTTTAGTGACTTCATGATAAGTTCTGTCCCAAATGGTCATTATATATTCCTATATTGGTACAACGGTTTTATTTATACAGCTCTCTATAAAACTATAATTATCTAAAATCAGACTAATAAATCAAAGCAAACAGAAAAATAAACCACTCGAAAAGAACATACATAAAAAACAAACAAACTAAAACAACCGTACATTTAAAAAATAAATAAATCACATGACACATGCTACTGAATCCACATTTTACTCAATAGTTAGTTTCTCTCTTATATTCAATCTTTATTATATTCCTGAAATCAGATGTTTCAGATAATTTATGTTCCATTTTTCTAAAATGTATTTTTTTACTTCCTGGGGGCTACACCATTAAAACAGTCCGCAGGTACTGACTAAATATTCTCAGAGTGTTGCTTGCTTTATTCCTTTAGATGAATTGCAGCGTTGAGCTAGATGTCATTAAGTGAACTCATCACATATTCAGGCTTTCCAAACAGCAGATGCCATTGCTTAGCTGACTAGTTGAAATGGAAATTATGCTAAACAAGTATTTGGTCCATTACATGGGCCCTGATGCACATACTCAAGGCTATATTAGTTGCTTACTGAGATGTCCACAGATGTAAACTTGACTTGTGAGTATGTGATTAGGAATTACCTTCAAGCGTTATCTCACAGTGTTTCTGTGAGCTTCAGTAGCTTCACAGAATTGTGCCTACTGTCTGCACAATCAAAATAACGTATTTAAGAGCATGCTGTGCAGTGGAAAACATATTTCCTTTGACTGCTGTCAATGCGTTGAATGAAACAAGATATCATATTGGATTTTGTTAAGTAAAAAGCAAATAAGGATAGCCCTTACCCTTATTCTGGGAATCCAATATCAGTGGTTGAGGCATGTGTGCAAAAAGGCAAAAATGTCTGACAAAAGTGAGATGTTGCTTTAAAGTATGTTATATCACACAAGAGGACTGTCTGCAGCGTGGCAGCAATATGGCACCTGTTCATTCGCTTCTCAACATGTCTACATTGTATCACAACAGAGTTGCAGGACTTTCAGAATGGCCCTGTTCACACCTGGCATTAACTTGCGTCTTGGGTGGTCCGATCACTAGTGGCCGGCCGTAAGTACGTCACTCCACACCTGACATTATAATGTGTCTCCTCTGAACACTTGTCATT